GGTCGAGAGCTGCGGTCTAGCAAGGCTTTCCCTAGGCAGCTTATTGCTTTCTCCCACCCTTGCAACTTCAGATGCATCTTAGACCTAAGCCGTAGGGGCCCCTTTTCAGCCGTGCAGGAGCTCGGAGGGGAGTTAGAGGGCACAGGCGCCTCCAGCCCCGCGTACAGCCAGGGAAGGGCTCTGCGGGACGTGAGCCAGGGCTGCTCCCAGGCGTCCCGGGCGGCTCCCGGACGCAGACTCGGACAAGGAGGTCAAACCGTCCGCAGAGCGGACCAAAAGCAACCGCACGCCTGTAAGATGCTACTAGCGCCCCGCGAACCCGCCGCTAGGCTCTCCCCGCCGCCCAAGGCAAGCCAGCAGCGTGTGCTTAACGCTAATCACATTCAGAAATCTGCCATAAGGTTTGCCAAGCTGTTTTACGCAGCTTCTCTGTGCCGACTTGCTGAAGAATTTATGCCGGTCTCCAGTGCTTTCCTGGGATGCCATTGATATTTCTGAACAGGAAAACAATTCTTTCCATGTGCTGCTCACCAGCATAAAAACATCACTCAGCAAACATGAGCTTAAGAGCTAAATCAGTCACTCTCCTCAATGGGCAATAAAATGTTTATTATCAAATGGGAAACGTTTGGGATGACGTCATCCGAGATAGTGAAGGGTCCGTGTTAAACCGAAACACTGCTTTTCTCAAGCTCTGCTCCACAAACTGGCATTGATTTCACCTGAGCTCAGGAATTCATGGTTCTGCTCAGCTTTCATAAAACATAATGGTTCGGATTTATTTTAGTTGCCATAGCTGTGTTCCCTAAGATATAAACTTGAGAGGAAATCCATAGGATTTGGTAGCAAGCAGAGGCAGTATGTAATATCTCTGCAATAGCAGTGCTTTCTTTAAAGCTGGCTACACTAGCATTGGCATCTGGAACAGTAAAAATGTTATCCTAGACATTTCTTACGGCAGGTGAAGTGCAAATTAAAAGACAGGGAGACCCACAGTCACTAATCAAGCCAGGATACACCAGCAGGTACGCCAGGTGCATGTGGGTGGACTGCTGGGTTTTGAGAAAAACTCACCAGTCCATTTGGAAATCACCAGACTTTCTGGGCCAACAAGTACTCGTCCATCTGTGCTGTCCGTGGCTATTTGCAGAAAGGAATACAGCCCTAAGCACGGCGCTCACACCACGTTTTAGGGCCTGACCCAAGAGATCCCCCTCCGGGATTGCTCCGTTTCCCTGGAGCCCTCGGTGCCCAAAGATGTGAGCGACCACAACAAGCAGAACGAGTCTGCACACCCCAAGCAAAGATTTTTGCTAAGA